ATTAATGTAATTTCCCTTACTAAAAATATAAAAGAAAAAACTATCTAATCATCTCAATCAAAGCAAAAAGCTCATTTGGCAAAATGCACCATCCATTCCTGATAACTCTCAGGAAACTAGGAATTTAAAGAAATTCCCTCAACCTGATAGAGGGAATCAACCAAAAATCTACAGCTGACAATATACTAAATGGTGAAAGATCAGGAATGAGGCAAGTATGTACACTTTCACCACTTCTCCTCAACTGAAAGTTCCAGCCTGTGCAATAGGGCCAGAAAATAAAAGGCATCCAGGTAGAAAAGAAAGATATAAAACTGTCTTTATTCACAAACAACATAATTACAACATGATTATCATTCTATGGAATCCACAAGAAAAGGTACTATGGTGTCACACCAAAAAAAGGTACTACAACTGACAACTGAGTTTGGCTGACAACTGATCAGAATATGTGATCAATATATAAAAATCAACTCTAATTCTATAATCTAAAAACAAAAAGTAGGAAAATGAAATTCAAAACAGTGTCATGTACAGTAGTATCAAAAATATTAAATACTTGGAGATAAATTTGATAAAGATTATAAGACCCCCACACTGAAATATATAAAATATTACTAAGAAAAATGGAAGCAGACCTAAATAGAGGGAAATACCACGTATGTGAATTAAAAAATTCAATATTATTAAGATGTCAGTTCTCCCCAGATTGGTCTATAGGTTCAAGGCAATCCCAGTAAACATCTTAGCAGGCTTTTTTGTAGAATTTGACAATCTGATTCTAGATGGAAATTTGAAAGGATAAAATGGGTAAAACAACTTTTAAAAAGAACAAAGTTGTAGGATTTATAATTCCTAATTCCAATTTTTAATACAAAGCTATAGTAATCAAAATAATGTGCTATTGGAACAAAAATAGACAAATAGATCAATAGAGCAGAATAGAGTGTCAAGAAATAGACCCACACACATATGGTCAACTGTTTAGACGAAAGTGGCAAAGGCAGTTCAATAGAGAATGTAGAGTCTTTTTAAGAAATGATGCTGAAAGAATTACATATCTATTCAAAAGACTCATCCTCAATCCATACCTCAAAGCACAGATGAAAATTAACTATAAATGGAATACAGACCTTACTGAAAAACCTAAAGTTAGAAACTTTTCATAAGAAAATACAGTAGAAAATCTTTATTACTTTGAATTAAGCAAAGATTTCCTAGCTATAAACACCAAAAACACAATTCATAAAAGAAAAAAATTGATAAATTAGACTTCACCAAAATCCATAAAATTGCTATTTGTAAAACTTCCTTTTTTTGGCTGCACCACATGGATCTTAGTTCCCTGACCAGGGATCGAACCTGGACTCCAGCTGTGAAAGCGCTGAGTCCTAACCACTGGACCGCCAGGGAATTCCCTGTAAAACTTTTTAAGAAATGAAAACATAGGCCATAAACTGGAAGAAAATATTTGTGTCACATATGTGATAAAGGACTGTGTCCAGAATATACAAAGAACTCCCAAAGCACAGTAATAAAAATACCAATAACCCAATTGAAAAATGGGCAGAAGATTTTAATAGACATTTTGCCAAAGAAGATATGCATATGGGAAATGAGCACACAAAAAGATGCCTAAAATCATTAGGCATTAGAGAAATGCAAATTAAATCATAACCGAGATGTCATGATACACCTGTTAGAATGATTATATCTAAAAAGACTGTACCAAGTATTGGTGATGATGTGGAGCATCTAGAACTCCACATTTTGTTGGTGGGAATAAAAAATTAGTAATCCCACTTCAGAAAATCATTTAGCAGTTTCTTAAAAAGTTAAACATATACCTACTATGATCCAGCCACTCCTTTTCTAGGTTTTTACCCAAGAGAAATCAAAGCATATGTTCACACAAAGTCTTGTATGTGGGTATTTACAGTAGCTTTATTTGTAATAGCCCCAAACTTGGAATGACCCAAACCTATGTCAACAGATAAATTTTGGTATATCCATACAATGGAATACTACTCAGCAATGAAAATGAATGAAATATTAATTCATGCAACAGAATGAATAAATCTCAAAGTAATTATGTTGAGCAAAAGAATCCAGACGAAAAGAGCACATACTATGTGATTCCATTTATTAAAAGAAAACTCTAGAAATTGCAAAACAATCTATAGTGACAGAAAACACATGAGTGGTTTTAGTGGAAGAGCACTGGCAGCTGAGAGGTATGGAAGAAACGGAATACAAAAGCAGGAGAAAACTTACAGAGGTAATGGATATGTTCACTATGTTGACTGTGGTGAAGGTTTCATGGGTGTGTAGTTATGTCTAAACTTTTCAAATTGTACATTTTAAATATGTGCAGCTTATTGCATGAAAATTATAACGCAATAAAGCTCTAAAATATATCAGATTAAATCTTTAAGAGATTTGTTTAGCTTTTTTAAATGTTTTCATATCTCTTTACAAAATGCCTCTAATTTCATATATTTTTATATCAAATTCTGTTAAAACATGCTATAACCTGTAACACAGTTAGGTAGCACAGAGTCCGTCATGATTTTACTAAAAATTTTCATTTTGTTTTGATCCTATTTCATTTTATTCTTTTCTATCTTATAACTTTATTTAAATAATACCCATTTTTTTCCATCTGTTTTATATTTTTAGAGGCAAAAGGGTAGATTATTCTGTAGGAGCAAGACAGCCCTCCTACATTTACTGGCTCTGTAATTTACTGGTGTTGTTCCTAGGACATGCTAAGCCTTAGTTTCCTTACAAAATGAGGTAATTTTATAAAGAATTTGACAAAAAAGAAAATCTGTGTTTAGTGCTCCACAAAGAGTTGGAATGGAACTTTTAAAATTTCTGTATATTCTGTTGGACAGTGACCTAACTGAAAAATAAGGCTCTTTATGATGTTAATCTTCAGAAAACTTCAGAAAGAAAGATAATAGGTAATCAAATTATTAAGTAACCCCAGGTTTAGCCAATCCTGAAAATAGACTTTAAAGGCTTTAGAATTTTAAAAGTTCTTTTGTTCAAACAATGGAGTTTCTATTATAGTTGCCAGACTAAAATTAAAGCAAGAATTATAAACTATTTTATAGTCTTTCCTGACGTCTTTCTCTGGTTATTAGGTTCATAAACGCCATTACTTCAAGAGTGAATGCCGTGAGGAAGTTTTAACATATGAAATGCCTAGTAGTTCGCTGTCTACTTTCCTATTCAAAATAATTACTCACTACAAAATTACTCATAAGATTTTTTAAGTTTCTGAAATAAATCCTCTACATATTCCAGACAAGAGTAAGGGGAATTCACCATTGTGTTATTTATCCTCTGATTATTGTGACCACTACCTCCCCATAGCACCCTCCATGGATCCCAGGAAAGACTGGCAGATACCAGAGCTACTTGCAGTGTTCTTTCTCTGTATAAGATCTGGGATTTTGCATAATATTATCCTTCCTTTTATAATAACATCAGCAACAGCTAACATTTATTGGGTACTTACTGTTTGCAAATACTGAGTTAAGCTTAATTCTAAAAACAATCCTCAGGCTTCCCTGGTGGCTCAGTGGTTAAGAAACCACCTGCCAATGCAGGGGACACGGGTTCAAACCCTGGTCAGGGAAGATCCCACATGCTGTGGAGCAACTAAGCCCATGCACCACAACTACTGAGCCTGTGCTCTAGAGCCCACAAGCCACAATCACTGAAGCCCACGCACCTAGAGCCGTTGCTCCGCAATGAGAGAAGCCACAGCAATGAGAAGCCCACGCACCGCAATGAAGAGTAGCCCCCACTCACCACAACTAGAGAAAGCCCATGCGCAGCAATGAAGACCCAATGCAGCCAAAAATAAATAAATAAATTTAATAAAATAAAATAAAAAAATAAAAACAATCCTCTACTCAGCCATAAAAAGGAATTAAATAATGCCATTTCTAGCAACATGGATGTACCTAGAGATTATTTTACTAAGTGAAGTAAATCAGACAGAGAAAGACAAATATCATATGATATCACTTATATGTGGAATCTAAAGGAATGATACAAATGAACTTATTTACAAAATAGAAACAGACTCACAAACTTACAGTTACCAAAGGGGAAAGGTGGGCGGTGAGGGATAAATTAGGAGTTTGGGATCATATACTCATATACTCACTGCTATACATAAAATAGATAATCAACAAGGACCTACTGTATAGCACAGGGAACTCTACTCAATATTCTGTAATAACCTATATGGGAAAAGAATCTGAAAAAGAATGGTTATATGCTTAACTGAATCACTTTGCTGTACACCTGAAACTAACACAACATTGTAAATCAACTATCCTCCAATATAAAATAAAATTTTTATTTTAAATCCTGTAAGATAGGAACTGATACCTTCCTCAGAAAGATGAGGAAACTGAGGCTTGGTGATTGTAAATAATATGTTCAGATATTGCAACACTTAACTTATAAATAGGAACCCCAAAACAAGCTTTTAACCAAGATATTAGAAAAATATTTCCATAAATAAGTCACAAAGCTAGAAAATTTTCAAGCTTAAAATGCTAGAAAAACTTTTATCTTTGTCTCTGCTTAGTTACTATCTAGATTTTGTCCTATGCTAGAGCATGATATGCAATCCAGTTTAACAAGTGTAAAGGAAAATATGCCTGTCATTTCTTCTGTGAGTCTTAGCTCTCAGAACATGTGGGTTAATTTGTACTTTTTTAATGATAGTGACTGAGTGAAATGCCAAAAGGTGATAAGTTGCACAAATAGTCACTTTTGTGTAAAAATTACTTTATGTTTTGAGATATTTATCAGTAATATGGGCAGTAAAATTTTTCTAAGAAAAATTCTACTTTCTACTCTGTTACCTATTATATTTGACATTTTACATTATAGATTTATTCAAGATTGGCTAACTTCTCTAGGTTCCATTATGCTCTCAAACTGGGGTTATAACCAAGGTATTTTATTTATAGACAAGCCTTCCTGAAGTTTCTCTTTAAAAAATTTTTAAATTAAACAAGTCTGAATGGCCTTCTGTGGTTCTGGGGACATTGGCTTCTGTTCTAAATGGAACTGTTCATCAAGTATTTTCCATCATCTTTGCAAAAATTGTAACTGTAAGTAAAATTTATTTGCTAATATTTTTAACAATTTTAAACAAAGTGTAACCTGAGAGAACAGACTTGGTATACTTTGACCCAGCAAGAGGAAAATTGGGACGTGTAGTAGGTCACCCCTAGTGTGGGATCCATGATAGAAAGGTTAACTAATGTTCTCAGGGGATAAGCCAGCCTCTATTGTGAAGTGTTTGGCTGGACCTTGTTGACTGGGCAATCAGTAAAGAAATTGCTTTGTTTTCTAATTCTGACTTCAGTGCTGTATCAGCATTCCAAAGCACTGAAGTAATAAAAGAGACAAATACGACCACTCTTTCTTTCAACTGGTCTGAACAATGGCCATTTTTTATTACCAGCCAGCTCAAAGAGAGGAAATAATGAGAGTTTGGGATTGTGCTGGGGAACCCAGGAGAGCTGATGAATTCATGGATCTTATTAGAGCCACCTTAAGTCTTCAGTCTCCTGGACTGTTGCTACACTGTGTCAACATAGATGCCAGTATATGTATAACTACTAATTTTAGGAACAATTTCTGGAGAAATTTATAAAGGTCTCATATTGCAGGTAGTACTCTGAATAGAGGAATATCAAGAAACCTGAGTTATGAGAAGTTATTAGAAATAATAACTCAATCAGAAAACTAATTTCAGTAGTTTCTTTGAAAAAATGTGGTGATATTAATAGCAGATAGAGGACTCATTTGTCTGATCCTATATTTACATAGCTTAAGTGAGAGAATTAAGAGTGAATTATTTTTTTTTATTGAAGTAGTGAATTTTTTTTTATGTAATGAATGTAAAGGATAGAATAATGGTACATTTTTTCCCCAGAAATGTGTGGAAATTACTATGTTGAAATTCATTTTTAAAATCCTGATGAATAGACATTTTAGTTTTTTCTCCTTCTTTTATAATATATTCTCCTCCAATCACCTGATTAAAAAAATCTATTCCTTTTCAGATGTTTGAAAATGATGATAAAACCACATTAAAGCATGATGCAGAAATTTATTCCATGATATTTGTAATTTTGGGTATTATTTGCTTTGTCAGTTATTTCATTCAGGTAATCTTTTAATGAATTAAACAAATATGTACGTGATTACTGTTTTATGTCATCCTATTTGAGTTAAAAATAGTAACTAAATATAATAACTAAATAAAATACAAATATGTAAATATAGTAACTAAATGTTCCAAAGAAATAGATAAGACAGTTAAAAATAAATGCAGATTTTTGTTTGTTTGTTTCTTTTCCAGGGATTATTTTATGGCAGAGCAGGAGAAATTTTAACCATGAGATTAAGACACTTGGCATTTAAAGCCATGTTATATCAGGTCAGTGTTTAGTTGGGCTTTTTTCTTATTTTATTTTGAACATGTTTTAAAATATTCTAGCTTTTAGTTTTTCTTCACATCAATTTCTTGACATAAGCTTTCCTTTGATCATTTAAAAGCATCCTTTTTTGTGTACCAAGCAGCAACTGTATTAGAATTATTGTACTGTATTTTCTAACAGAAGCAAGTCCAAAATTGTTATGTTCAAAAATGCAGTTTATAGAAAACAAGGTTTAGAGTCCACTCCCTGTTCCTTGCATTTATCTTGACAAATCTCTTTTAATGTATAATGTAGTTGTTCTAGAATCAGAATGGAGGCTAAATTAAAACTGAAAAGGAGTGTTAAGAACTACAGTATCTTGGGAAACATGTTTAAAAAGGAGTTAATTTCTATAGTTCTCATCCATCTGCACAGTTTAAGTTTTTTCATTGCTGACTTCTTAAGGCAGCCATTCTCTGAATTCAGATAACATCAGTCTAGCTGGCAGGTTGGCTTGCCACAGCTGATCATTCACACCTGTGAAATAACTAAAACTAGGTGTATCAAATAGTAATCTTGAAAAGTGAGTCTTGGGGGCAAATGGCAGGAATGTCTCAGAGTGGCACCTCTAAAATTCTTTCAGAAGGCCAAGGTATATTGGGTTACCCTGAAAGCCAGTAATCATTTGAAGCCCTTTGCCACACTTTCTGTCACCAGAACTCACCGTGTAGGGGCAAATAGCTTCCTGCCAGGGTCATTTCTTTTCAAAAGTAGAGTTACTGTCACTCCAGCCGAGTTGTCAAAACCAGTTTTTACATCTTGTGACTTTTAGCAGTAGTGCTCAAAGGACTGCTGAGTAACAAAACTCCTCCACCTTTATGTGCTCTTAGAGGACAGCAAGATATAAAATGAAGCGAGTGGGACGTTTCCCATAGCAACTTAATGCTCTGAAGCAGTTGGTGCCTAACTTCTTCTCTCAAAAAGGTCCTGTCAGAGACAACTGCCGACACTCCTTAATCCAGAAAAACAAAAATCTACTTGAAGGGTCATAAAATGATTTAATGACTGCACATCTTGTGTCGCTCACATTAAGCTTGTACTTTTGGGGGGTTTTTTATGAACAATTTATGTCTTTACCTCAAATCTTTGATGAAATTAGGTGGGATTTTAATTAACTAATACTATGTTTCACACGACAATTTTGGTCATTTTTGTTTTTTGTGTATTTATGTTTTTACACATTCAAGGACATTTATTTTCAGTTTTCAGGAACTTTTGAAAATGTTTCCTGAATGTCTTAAATAAAAGAGTATAAACTTTAACTTTTCCAATCATTACTTTGAACTTTCTTTCTAGAGGATTACAGGATGCTTTTGGTGGAGGAGTCCCAAGGCCACAAGCCAGTTAAACCAGTGAATATTGTTAATCAAATATCCTGATGGCTGATACTGGATCTTACTCCTTTGCCTAGCATTAGCCACGTGAACAGCAGGACAGTAACATTCTTGGATTAAGTAGCTTCTGCCCATAAGAATACAGCAATCTGTAAACCATAAACTCTTCTTCAAAACACATAGAAAGACAAACAGACAGAAACTCTGTGCTATTCAGCAGATGTTATTAAATTCTCCCATAAATTCACCTGAGCCCCTTTCAGCTTACCATTTGTTTTCCCTCTTCATTCTTTAACACTCTTTTTGCTTATTTGCTTTCTTAAATTGAAAGAAAAGAGTAATGTATTTGGCCTTTTCTCAATAAATGTCTTAACGAATTTCACTTTTCTCTGTAGTAAGGGAAGTTCCTAATGTACAGTTTCACCCTAACTCCTATTACCTGTTTGGTTTTTTTTTCCCTAAGATAAGATATTTTAAGTCTTAGAAATCATGCTGAAACTTGCAGTGCTTTTTATAACCATTTTGAAACCTCAGTTGAAATAGAGGTATTTATGGAATCAGGTGTGGTCTTTTTGTAGGTATAAAATCTCTATTTTATTTGATGACTTGAGATCCCTCCAGTTGAAAAGAATGTTCTAATTGTTGCTGACTTCAGTGGTTATAAATAATCCATTGCTTATTGTGTTTAAAGCTAAATTTATATTTCTTAATGATAAATATTGACCTATAAATCTATTAGGTTTTTTAAAAGATATGAAGTTTTTTTTTGCCTATTTCTCTCTAAATTGGATTGGCTAGGGCTTCTGTGGAGGGCCACTAAATCATAAGATGATGGCATTAGTGGGGATCACTAAGAAATCTTAAAAAGCTACTTCCAAAAGGATTTGAGGTAACAAATCCTGAAGCAGGAAAAACATGTCAGGAAACTCAGCTGTAACGTTTCAGTTAGATGGGAGGCAGAACAGGATAGTTGATTAAAAACTCTGGCATCTGGTTGTCTAGGTTTAAATCCTGGCCTCAGTTCTTTCCAGCTATGTGGCCTTGGGCAAGTTACTTAATCTCTCAGTACCTGTTTCCTCATATATAAAATATGGATAGTCATAGTATCCATCTCATAGAGTTGTGATGATTAAGTGAGAAAAGACATACCACGCACTTATAATAGTGCTACTGTAATTTTTTATTTCTAATAGAATTATTGGCAGGAAAAAAATGGATTTACTAGTATCAGAAAACCTGCTACCCTTGCTTATAATCATTTTACCATCAGGAAGAGAAGAAGCAAGCTAATTTTTACTCAATACCAGCTGTGCTCCAGAAACTCTGCTAAGTGTTTTAGCATATAATGCCTATGCTGGAAAACAATGTCTAGAGTGCATAATTGCTGACTTGTTGAAAAGCAGTTTTGGATATCTTGCTGACTGAACATCAGAGAAAGACTAAGACTAGTCATATATGTATCCTTTGCCTTGCGTATTATAGCAATTACTATACTATAGAATCAGGAATGTAATAGTAAGTGATAAATTCTTTTTCTACATTTTTACTTTATATTGTATCTAGAAATTCTTTGTGTATTCCATGTCATGTTGAAATATAGAAAGAATTATGCAATGTAAAATATATATATATATATATTTTAGTATACAATAAAAAACAGGTAATGTCTTCTAGATCAAGAGTGCTGTAGTTACTGTCATTGCTGATGTGTGTTCATGGTATGTTAGGCTCTTGACTCGGGTTGTATTCTCAAAGTGGCTACTGTGTAGTGCATATCATGATCTCTATAAGATGCCCTTCGGGTGTCTAGGACCCTAAACTCTTTGGGACACCTTCCCAATCCAGGGGTTTAAAGAGTAGTGATGTCATGCCAGGGTTGTAATTCCCCTGGCCGCTGCCGTATTCCTCCACAGGGGCTTTCTTCTCACACAACAGCATGACTAATGCACAGCCTTCTATCTCTCTTGCTTTTGTTTCCTTAATTGGCAAAAATGTGTAACCTGGGCATCAGGGCCCTGGCTGGGTTGTAGTAAGCCAACAGTTCTTTTGCTCTTCACTCACTAAAAATCAGTCATTTTTTTGGAGACAGTCTGCATGTAGTTTAATCCACAAGAGATATAACTGGTTTGAGTGCATGGGAGGAAACAGTCAATAACTAATAAAAGGAAATCAGCATTCCTCAAGTTGAGAGGTGCTAAGAAGTGCTATCTCTATTTGCTGTTGAAAATGAAATTGGTTATAACATTAGGCTTTTATTGCTTCTATTTTTGACCTGTCTCCTTCAAATTGCATGCTTTGTGGCTGCAGGCTTTTTACAGCAGCCTTTCTGCATCTTTAGCTCCCCACAAGGCCCAATACTTATAAGATCTAAGGGGGAATATGAAGTGTCAGGGAAAATCTCACCTATCTGGGTCCTGAAGAGAAGGAGACAGACTTATTTTTTATCATTTATATGTTTAGACAGAAAGGTTTGGAAATATTTCTAAACTGTGTTGTGCATTACTTTACTTTTTAGGTAAAATCTGCTCTCCACAGATTACTTGTGGAGTAAAATTACAAATTATTTTGTGGTTCGAAATGACCATTTTAAACATTGATTATTATACAATATTGCAGCATGGTAATGAGTCCAAGCTGTTGGGCTTAAGTTCTTCAGTTTGTATCTAAATATAGATCTTTGTGAAGTAAGAAACAAAAGTTATTTGATCCATAGTTTTTACAAGAATTAAGTGCCTGTGAGTAAGGAGGCAGGCAAATGGCTTCTAAGTTAATGTAGCAAAATCGCAAGTCAGAAAAGGATCTTTTTGATGACCATATGTTAATTCCCTTTTTTCTCTAGGATATCTCCTGGTTTGATGGTAAGGAAAACAGCACAGGAGCCTTGACAACAATATTAGCCATAGATACAGCACAAATTCAAGGAGTACGTATATTGCTTTTATTTTTAATTAATTAATTTATTTATTTTTGGCTGCGTTGGGTCTTCGTTGCTGTGCGTGGGCTTTCTCTGGTTGTGGAGAGCGGGGGCTACTCTTCATTGGGGTGCGTGGGCTTCTAATTTCGGTGCCTTCTCTTATTGCGGAGCATGGGCTTTAGGCTCGCGGGCTTCAGTAGCTGTGGGGTGCGAGCTCCAGAGCGCAGGCTCAGTAGTCGTGGCTCAGGAGCTTAGTTGCTCCACAGCATGTGGGATCTTCCCGGATCAGGGTTTGAACCCATGTCCCCTGAATTGGCCGGCAGATTCTTAACCACTGTGCCACCAGGAAAGTCCCTGCTTTTATTTTTAAATGGTGTATGTATATGGTATGCATGCATGCGTGTACACACATGTGTTTGTGCATATATGTGAGCTCTGCTGAGATGACCCACATCATTAAGGAGACCAGATATGTCTCAGGGCTAACAGGGAGCTCTCAGTGAAAGATATAAAGAAGCCTTTCAGTTCTGGACATTTTTAACCAAAATTAAAGGAGATTTAGGACATGTAATAGGATAACCAGAGGACTAAAGAAGATACCAAGAATGAGTTAGAGAAAAGAGCTCAGAATTAAATAGTAAGATAAGAAAAAGTAACAAAATGAAAACACACACACGTAACTTAGAAGTTTTAATAAAAGAATGAAGTTTAGTTTTTCCTTCCCCCCAGAAAATAAAATCTTATTTAGCATAATATGTAACATGTTAAATTCATATGCATCTGGAAATGATTCTGTGCTAGTTGTTATACAGATCAAGTTAAAGAGATATGTGTGATCATGACTGGTCACAATACGTATAAATAAAATTCATGTTTATGAACCATATTCAAAATCAATGACAGAATGACCAGCATAATGTACGTCAAAGTGACACTTAAATATTTATGGGGAGTAGAGTAGTGTGGAAGAGATGAAGAGTAATTTATTAGTTTTCTTCCAATTATTTTAATAAAATTAACCTGTATATTACAAGCAGGATTTCAACTATAATTGAGAAAAGGAATGCAAAACAAGATTTCCCACTTTTAAGTGAGGTAAAGTTTTTGATCTCTGTTAAAATAAGAACTCTACAAGAATTATAGACTTTCCTTTTTCCTTATCATTCATGTGGGAGAAAAGGAAAGTCAATGATGCACCTCTGAATGACAGAAAAATCTTAAAAGTATTTTTTTGTTTGTTAGAAATACTGAAATGTTGATTACAGCATTGCTACCAGAGCAACAAATTGTCAACTGAAACAGCTCTTCAAAATTGTATTTTCTTTTGGAAGCTGTTTCCACAGGACATGGTCACTATTCTAATTTTTGTAACTTTTGCAAGACTTCTTTGTTCAATATATACATATAAGGATAGATTTATATTACTAGAGAATAAAACAAGTTGGTTACAATTATGAATATTCACATGCTTCTGTATTGGTTTGGAAAACTAATTTTATGATGTAGAAAGAGCTCAAGAGGAAAGGGGGCATCATCTTCATCTCTTCCTGAAACTTTTTTTGATAATTTTGAAAACAAGACTCTAAATTTCACTAGATAGTATTTAAATTTTAAAGTAAGGCTGAGGAGCTGGATTTTACTTGTATAAGTGGGAAGAAAATGATGGATAAAATTTCACTTAATAGTTAACTAATGAGCATAGCATTAATCTTCCATAGCACAATAGAATCAGATAAATAACAACATCTGTGTTCAGAAATTCAATGGTTCACTACTTTTGGCAGAAGTATCAATCCCTATAATTCCCTTTGAATCCCCATTCTACAAAACTTGGTTTTTTTTCCTTTGCTGTGTGCATGTTTTTCTCTTACTACCTATCATCATTCAGATCTTTTAAGAATCCAGTGAAATAGTATTCTTACTATAAGCTATACTTGATACGTGAGACATCTCTTTTAGTATTTACTTAAATGAAAAGAACAAATTAGTACTAACGGCGAACATTACCCTCCGGATACCCATTAGTTTTTTCTAATACATAATGTTGTCTCTCATCAAGAAAAATTAATGGGAATATTTGTCAGTGTGATTCCTTATAAGCCTTTGACTAATACTATTTGAATCATTTGAAAATTTCCTGTTTCAGTTAGTAAATGTTGGTCTCATGATAACTTCTGGGCAAGTCAAATCATTTTCATTAAATAAGAAGTAGTAGCTAAACACTAGATGGGTGAAATACTGATGGCACATTTTTAAAGTTGAAGAATTTGGAAAGCATAGCAACCAAAGAAGGATTCCAAGAATAAGACTGTGTCTACTGGCATATAATTCACATAAACCCTTGCTTTGCCATATATAGGTAGATTCATATCTAACTTGAATGGATTCTCTTTCTATCGAAGGAAGATTATTTACTAATCCTATTTGTCCACTATTTCTTTTATCACAAAGACACACCACACTAGAGATGAATCAGTAAACAATAATTTGGGGTCATATATCCTATCATATCAACTTAAGATATTTCCATCTCAGTTTCTTCATCATGTAATTTCAGTTACATATTATTTTATCAAATGTATTAGGGTGAATGTTTATAAACTAGCCCTTTAATAACAGTAAATTTTATTCTGAAGCCCTTACTAATCACCAAAAATATAAACTCCTGGCTATTTTTAGATGTTCTGATACTTTGAGAGTCATGAGAAAAACATGTTAGTGAAATAAGGTTATAAGACAAAATGATTCCTGAAATAGTTGATTGAGTACAACCAATTTAACTGGTATTATTTCAGCCCAAGGTAATGGCTTACTGCCAGTACATCTGTCAACAGACTATTTTCTGTGTAGTATGTAGTTTTATTAAAGGTATAAAGCCATTTTAAATTCTTTGGGAGACTGAATTTCACAGAGTTACAAAGTATTATTTCTGTATATTTTAGCAACCCCTTTTCATCAACCAGAAGTCTTACCTCACTTTTGTCCACATAAAAGTGTGTGATTGATGCCACAGTGTACACTTGATATACCGACACACACAATGTTAGTTCCAAGAATTCTCATCAGAACTACAGTTACATTGCCCCAAGAAATAAAAATTTCCTTTATTAATTCCTAGAGCCCAGTGAAATGATTAGGTAGAGCTAGGGTATCATTACATGGACAATGGTGACCTCACTTTTTGGTTTAACTTTTTGACATGGAAAGTGTATAAAACAGCTTAACATTACTTATAATTCAAACAATGTGAGTAGTCATTGAAATCACTTTACCACAGTATAAGGTTGGCATATAATTGCTGTTTTGCATTACAATTTTAGGTTGAATTAATTGAGACATTATCAAGTCTACAGCAAAAGCTAATATCCAAAACCATGAATAATGAATAATACAGTGAATAACAATAGGCCTTAAACACCTTACATTTTCACAAACTTTGTAAATTTGTCCAACTAAACCTTTTTGTTTTTTCTGCTCTACAGATATTTTTGCCACCATCAGTTATAATACATCTTAGCAGATTACACTTCAGGTTATACTCATCTAGTTTATCTCTCAACTTCTTTGAAAATATTCTCACCTTCAGTTGTTCCACACAGACTATTCATAGCAGCTAATTTTAAAGTCACTTCAAACTCAGTATCGACTCCTCAAAAAAACCAACAGTTGAGCAGTATCAGTAACATATGTCAACCCATCAAGAGCCAGGGAAAACTACTCAAAATGACCTACCTTGGTTTTCAGTTGACAATTGATATTGCTGTCGTTGTTCTCAACTTTTTGAGCAGTTCTCATCAAAACGCTAATCATCTGATATTAGTTTATGCTCTCTGAACACATTTCTTCCACTGTTGCAATCAAACATGATTTAATTAACTCACTATATGTGAGTGACTTTCTTTGCTTAGCTAATAAATGAGCCACTCAGAAACTTACTTTAGATTCAGCCTTGTTTTCACTTTTTAGTTTTATGAAGAAATTCTGCTGTGTTATTCCATTTTGTGTTATTTCCATTCCATTTGTTTCCCATTTCTAATTTTTATAAATGTTACTTTCCTGTGAATTAGGAATTTTGTGATGCATGCTTAGTCTGCTAATGTCGACCTGTTTTGTATATTTTTAAGACTGTATAGTCTCATGGCATAATAAACACAGCACTGTGACATCTAATTAGAACACAAAGTGATCCACAGTCCATTGTGCCTTCCTTAAAAGCAGGACATCCAAAGTCCACTTTTCCCTTCCTTTCTGGTCTTTAGATGATGGGCATACAATGGTAATTTTTAAAACTAGGATGAAATATCACAGTACAGCAGCACACAGGGCACTCAACATGCTGCCAAATTATATACAATATCATCACACTGAGCAGCAGTACAAAGCAAGGAGAGCGGCACATATGGTTTCTCTAGCAACCCCTCAACTCCATCATTATAGTCCTAAGACAGCTATAGTCAATAGGTAAACAAAGAGGCATGGCTGTGTTACAATAAAACTTTTTTTATGGATACTGACATTTGAATTTGTAGAATTTTTATGTGGGTCGTTTTCATTTATTTTCATTATCTCTTAACTTTTTGATTGTATGTTATACAATGATAATAACTTTAAATGTCATTGTCTGTCTGGGTGAGTTTCAACTGATTGATTTTTATGCTCATTATGGGTCATTTTTGGTGCTTTTTTCATACCTAGTAATTTTTGAGCAGATGCCACACATTGTGAATTTAACATTTCGGGGTGCTGAATATTTTTGTATTTCTAGAAATATTCTTGTTTTGTTCTGGGATGCAGTTAAGTTACTTGGGAACAGTTTGATCTTGGGGGGGGGTCTTGATTTTAAGATTTATTAAGCAGGACTGGAGCCAACAACTGAGGCAAGACCCTTCAATATACTCTACCCAATGACCAGTGAATCATGAGGTTATTCAGTCAGGCTGGTATGACCAAGCGTATGGTCTTGGTATGACTGGTATGACTAAGCCTCACGCATGCATTGTTCAGTTGAATACTCAAGGAGGACCCCCTGCAGATATCCAGATTTCTCTTTTTGTATACCTCTCTCTTCTTCAGTGTTCTGTGCTGCAAACTCTAGCTTCCTTGGCCTCTCCAGACTCAGCTTTGTCTACTCCACTTACGGAGTCTGTTAGGCTCGATCTCAGTTTACCCTTCCTACCCTGAAGCCTGGAAGCTCTTTTAAGGGGTAAACTGTGGCAAACATAGGGCTCACCTCGTTTGTTTCCCATTTCACCCTTGGTTGCCTTAGGTCTAGTATCTTGAAAACTATTGGTTCATATATTTTGTCTATTTTTTATTTGTTTCAGATGGGAGGACAAATCCATTCCCTCTCTTCATGTTAGCCAGAAGCAGAAATCCTGCTATATAGAATTTTATTTCTACAATTGCTTACTGAGTAGCTTTCCATTTATTTTCTTATGGCAGCCATTCCTCTGGAACTTTCTTATCTAAGTTGTATTACCCACATTTAGCATAGTATTTGGACATAGTAGATACTCCATAAATAATTGTTATCTGTAGAACTATTTAATTATGACTTTCTGCTCTTGATTTCCAAGGGAAAATTCTATCTTCATGCACGTTGATAAAGAATCTAAAGAAGTTTAATTAAATTTCCTCTGATTCCAGTTCTAAATTCTTTCCAGAGCTACACTATTCCTCTAGGTCTTTAAGGCAATTTTAAATTTTCTTTTCGTTCTTGTAGTATTTTTCAAGGCCAGATGTCTGTTGTTTTCTGTTAATTCTTCCTGGAACAGGAAAGATATATTCAGATCCTTCTTATCCTACTACCATCACCAAAAGGCAGGGTTTGTGGCCTGTCCATGGCTGCGTTGACTGAATATTTCAGTAAGTTTCTGGTAGCTTAAACTAAAATGCCATTTAGAAAGGTATATGATCTTACTTTCAAGAAGCAGATTAGTACAAGAGTGAATAAATCAAGCTTATTGAATAAGCAAGGTTATGCAAGTGCAAGTCACTTTATAGAAAGTTCTTATGTCCCAAACAAAAAGCTCAAATGCAAGACCGTTCCATTGAAAATTTGGCAAGTTTACACTTGGATGTTTTGAGACATGAGGTTGGTTTGCATACTCCTTAGACTAATTTTAAGTGACTCTCAAATGTTCATCTGATGTGCCTCTGATAATTCCCTCTACCTCTTTTTCCAACACGCCGCATAATTTTATACTCAAAAACTACAATCCTCAGCATGCTTTCCGTCTTTACTTTTCCTGTCTTTCACCTTTTTACTTCATTTTCTTTTGATTTCCTGTAAAGAGCTGTAATCTTAAAGTAAATGGGATAAAAACAGAGGAAGGTGGTGAAAAAAGGAACTATATTATGGCCACCTAATAGGAAGTACCCAAACAGAAAAGAATAACTGTTCCCTGGATATGTTTTCCACTTTTGTTAATATAGATATCGTGCCAAAAACTGAGATCTGAAAAAGGAAAAGTCACTGACCTCAAAATAAGAAAGTACAAAGTGGAAATTAATGAATGTATAAAGGCCTAAAAACATAGCTATCAAGTAATTGATGGCAAGTAATTTCTTAGTAATATTTAGATAAATTTTACATTAAAAGAACAGTGACTATCTTATTCTCGACAAAACTTGATTGTAATTTTTGAAAATACTTCTATTTTACAGCAAAAAATATATATGCTTATGTGGCTGTAGGAGCATTCCATAGTTAATCTGATGTGGGGTGGGACCTTCAACAGTACAAGTACTTAAGTTCCACAGCCTCTTCATCCAGCTATCTGACCTATATAACTTTGAAACTCATGGTGAGGGTGGGAGGAGAGGAGCAAGTACAGTATATTAGTTTGTAAGGGCTGCCATAACGAAGTACCACAGACTGAGTGGCTTAAACAACAGGAATTTATTTCCTCATGGTTCTAGAGCTTAGAAGTCCAAGATCAAGGTGTTGGCATGGTTGGTTTCATTCTGAGTCCTCTCACCTTGACTTATAGTTTTCTTCGTGTTGTGTACTCACATGGTCTTTCTCTATGCAAGCATGTCTGCAACCAAATTTCCTTTTCTTATAAGGACACCAGTCATATTGGAGTAGGGCTCACCCTCAAAACCTCATTTTAATCTAATTACTTCTTTAAAGACCTTATCTCCAAATACAGTCACATTCTGAGGAACTGGGAGTCAGGACCTCAACATATGAATTTGGGTGGGGGGTGTAGAACCATTCAGTCCATAATATACAGCATCATTTATCTCTGCATCATCCTTAAACTCTCAAGAGGCAGAGTGTAAGCAAGCATTAGTACCAAATGACATTTGTATTTCAGCCTCATAGCTTAGAGTTAGTGTATAACGCCCTAAAGCATGTAAAATGGGTTACCTGTCTGAGTTTTCAGTATTTAGTGGTTTGTTTGGTGTTTGTTATTGCTATTTGTTTTTACTTTTTTGGAGTTTTCTTTGATAGTTCAGCGAAAAAATGGGAAAATACTGGGTCATTATCAGATGCAGTCTTGAAACTAAAACCACAAAAGTTTTTTAGGAATAAGTCAGAGCCCTGTGGAGAAAGAGGGCTTTTTATTGTTATTTTAATGATGATACTAATTTGGGGGATACTTCAGTGAATATTGATATCACCTTTTAGAGAAGCAATTTGACAATGTCTATGAAGAATGTAAGAGTATATACCCTTTAACATATAACTCCAGGCTAGGAATTTAACATTAGGAAATAAAAGATGAGCACAAATATTTTGCACAAAGATGTTCATTACATCTTTGCTTTTAATAGTGAAAAATTGGAAGCAATCTACTAGATATTTTTTGAAGACTATTTAGTGACCCAGGAAAAAGCTTGCTGTATAATGTAAAGGGATAAAAGCAGGATACAAAGCTGAATACACACAATAATCCTAATCTGAATGTGTGTATGTATTTATGTCTGGAAGGATGTAATTTTTAACATTATTTAGACCTTTTCCAATGGCCATGTTTTCATGATCAGAGCAAAACATATGTTTGAAAATGTGAACTGATATCTTGGTTGATTATAGCTGTGTTCCTAGGTAAATAGGTGTTTCATTTTTTCATCACAGCATAAAGGAATTTAACATTTCAGTTTATTACTTAACATGTGTCCCACTGAAAGTTAATTCATAAGACATGCAGTTCTCGTAAAGCAGTTATGAAGATATTTCTACTTAATTTAAGATTTTTTTCCAAATTTCTTTTAAGTTACCTCATACCATGATGTTTCCAACTCCTTTTCTGTCTTGATATTGCCTCTTTAGACCTTTGCTGAGTGACACCAAGTTATAAAGTGCAGAAACGGGAATGCAAGATATCATATCCAAAGTATATACTTCAATGAATATCCTCAATCATTCCATTCAGCACTACTACAGTGTAGTGGCTAAAAAGTACCGGCTCTTTTTCAGTGTAAGGGGAAGGGGCAGGGTTGGTTTTGGAGCCCACATATGGTAAGTTGGGCATCCATGTGAGGCAGCAGCCTCATGTGGGAAAGCCAAGCCAGAGAAGAGTGAGGAGGGTATGCATGCAGGGGAGAGACAGGGGTCATGATAGCAGATTGGTCACGATCTGCATGATAGCAGAGAGATTGATCAAGGAACTCTGGTAAAGAAAATGGGAGCCAGGTTTCTCACTGTTGAAGAAGGGGATAACAAATATTAGAAGGGAGAAAGCTGGAAATAACCTTGTGTTTTTGGATTGGAACTGGAGGTATTGGTATGAACTCATGGATTTCAAGAAATGTAAATAGAGAAATAAATATAGATTTCAATATGTGCATGCATCTATGTGCGCGCGCGCGCACACACACACACACACACACACACACACACACACACTCCCCAGTTCTATCTACTAACATTCCACTGATAATGAGCACAACTAGCACCATATATTGATTTTTTTTTAATTAAAAAATTTTTTTTCTTCATATAGTAAGTCCTAAATAACATTCTCCACTAACAGGAACTGGGACTTCTTGGAGAAATGACAGATTTCAGGTGTAGGGCCTGGAAAATCTTTTTGTGCCAGAAAGTAAGAACATATTCAAAAATAATAGGAACATGTCAAAGGACAATATCAGACATAATATAGGCAAATAAAACATAATGACTCCTTAGTAGTGGACATTTTTAAACTATAACTATTATTTAATCTCTAAGTATAAATTCAAAATAAAAATCTATGTATTAATCCTAAAAAAAAAAGCTTATCTTATTTTGCAAGAAACTATAATAGCAATTCTTGTAATTTTAAAATTAACTGACTTTTTTCCAAAATATGTCTGATTATAGGCAACGGGTTCAAGGGTTGGTGTCTTAACACAAAATGCAACTAACATGGGACTTTCAGTTATCATTTCCTTCATATATGGATGGGAGATGACACTCTTGATTCTGAGTATTGCTCCGGTACTTGCTCTGACAGGAATGATTGAAATGGCAGCAATGACTGGATTTGCCAACAAGGATAAGCAAGAACTTAAGCATGCTGGAAAGGTAAAATAAAGACTGTTATTCCCATCATAACCTTTTAAGAGAAAATCAATAAGAGCTCCTATCCTTACAATACATAACTTCCTTTCTTAGGAATCTGTAAAGTGATGTATATGTATTGAAATTCATACAGATCAGTTTAAGATGGGGTGTAGATAATGTCATAGCAATAGGGTGCATAATTTAGAGCATAGGCTCTGGAGTCAAACTGGCTGAATTAGAATCCAGATTCTACCACTAACAAATGTGTGATCTGAGCAAGTTACATCAACCCTTCTGGACTTCAGTTTCTCCCTCTGTAAAGTGGAAATAAAATAGTATCCCCTTACAGATCTTTATGACTATTACAGAAAACACTTAGTCTTATTAGTATATGCAATAGTATCTGGAAAACAGTAAGCACTCAGTAATGTCAGCCATTATTACTGTTACCAAATCGTGGGGGAATTTGTTAACATTGTGATTCCACATTCTCTGATTATTGAATAATTGAATGTCTTGAATAATTCTGGGTATTTTATTTTTCAAAATAAAGAGGAAATAGTTACTAAATTCAAGGCAAGGTACTGATATTGGTAGTGCCTAAAACAAAGCTTTAGAGACAAGGACCATTTTTAAAATGATCAAAATGAACAATGTATTTACTTGGAAAAATTTTTGACATATATAAGTTTCTCAGGATCAATCATATTCATAAAAATAATCATTGTAGTAGCGATTTAGAGAAACATTAGTAATGTAGTACCATAATATCTAAAAGTTGAAAGAGATGTCATTTGATCCAGCCACTCACCCAAAGTAGAAATCTCTTGTACAACATCCCTGTTGAGCGTATATCCATCTTTTTTCCACCCTTTTCTCCAGTGGCAGGCAGTGCATTACTTTCCCAGGCTGCTGCCTACCCCTTAGATGGTAGGGAGTTCTTTTTTTTTATTTTTTTGGTGGCCTTCTATCCTTCTCTTCTTGGCTTTCATCTTGATTGAGGTCCAAAACCTGCTTCTCGTGACGCTATGAAGCTGCATCATGTAAATGCCAAGTCTTCTCTTTGTCACCCAGCCCCAACTCCTCTCTTGATATCGTTTCAAAGATCTATATCACATTGGTGAAAGGCCTGAATATAAAGATGATTTTAATATCATTATGGTCTGTATCAGAGTGATTGTATCATATTATAAATAGCATGAATATTCATGAATAGGGATCCAACCAAGCACAGGACTCATAGAAATCTGGTTTTCATGACCCTTGGACTTTTCCACCTTTCCTGCACTAGATAAAGACCCTTGGAATGTCTGCTTGAGCAGTACAGACTGAACTACATAGCATATATTTGCTTCAGAAACACAGAAAAGTTGTTCAACCCTCCGTGTGAGCAAATTATCACAATTTCCAAGTTAATCTGGCCGTAATTAATTATATTTTATTCATCTTAATTTTTATGTCATGAGCTTTAGTTGCTTATGTGCCGTTGGATTTTTTTCCTTTTTTTTTTTTTTTTTGCCGTACGCGGGCCTCTCACTGTTGTGGCCTCTCCCGTTGCGGAGCTCAGGCTCCGGACGCGCAGGCTCAGTAGCCATGGCTCACGGGCCCAGCCGCTCCACGGCATGTGGGATCTTCCCAGACCGGGGCACGAACCCGTGTCCCCTGCATCGGCAGGCGGACTCTCAACCACTGCGCCACCAGGGAAGCCCCTTTTTTCCTTTCTGTATTATTAAAGTAACCTCAGAGTATACAATCAATAACTGCAATCA